AATTGTTTTCTGTAATGGAAAAATATGCAAGGTACAGTGGTTACCATGTAGTGGTATGCCTTGTGTTAGTGAAGGTAATTCCTGTTTGCAAAGTGACTAAACTACTTGGTTATTGGATATGAAAAACATTATACAGTATTTTCCAGCCTGGCTAAAACAACTGTTTGTTGTCCATGATTGTTTTATGAAATGCATTGGCCAAGATATATGTTTTACAGGATGATGTATTGTACATGTAAAACAGCTCACCTCACAAATCAGACTTCCATGTAGCAAGGCTTGGATAGTTTTGCTATGTTTTATTTATTTAGACACAGAAATTATTGACAAGTTTTAATATGGCTTTATTGTTTTTACAAATGCAGAGCACATGTACTCATGATCTAAACAGATACCAAAAACTGATAGTATACAAGTTTCTTTGAAATCAAAATCAAAACATTTCATTTTTAGTCCATTAAAGAAGAGTCTCCCTACTTCATTTGCGGTTGCTGTATTCGATCGTTTCAGACAGTTATAAAATTTCCTGTCACAGGAACAGTGGGACATTCTCCATAGCAATGGGTTTGTCATGTAGTAGCGATATTCAAATGGTTTTATACTTGGACGACAGTGATCATGTGCTCTGCAACATTCATCTGCTTCCCATTCTGTTCCTGGAAGATAGAACCAGCCATGATTGGTCAGTTATAACCATGTGATACGACCATATTTAAAAAGTTTATTTGCATACTACTCTTTCCTACATGCACATTGCAATTATAGGTCCATGGAAATCGAAACCTGTTGTGTTTGTATCTTAAATTTCCATGGTGATATTGCAATCCAAGTTCAGAAATAATAACTGGTCTTGATACTGAGAGGAATTTGGGCTCATCTGCAATGGCTTGAAACATTGGTAATCCTTAGCTCATATCGCCTGACCTTGACCCTAACACCTGGTATAGGATTATCAATCATTACCCAATCTCATTAAAATCTTATGTATTGTACGATGTGTATTTTATTTTATATATTTATTTTACTTTCACTATTTTTTTAATTATTTTGTTTGTTTTTTATGTTTTTTGTTACATACTTGTGATATGATATGTTGGCTTTCGACATTACCAAAATTCTTAACAAACTGCCAGCAAAAAATTAATAAAATAAAATAAAATAAAATAAAAAAAAATGTATAATAAAAATAAATAATTAAACACAAATTTGAAAAAAAAGCCCAAACTAGGATCTTATTTTAATCAGATTGAATCACTACCCTGAACCAATCAAAACTTTCCAAACAACTCTGTAATTTGTCTGACAATTTGTCATTTATTTTACTATGCTCAGTTATACTTACTTTGTCACCGTTCAGTATAGAGAGTATCAAAAACTCGAGAGAGAAATTCAATTTCAAAATCAAATCATTTGATTTTTGCTGCAGATGTTTGATCAGCGTCTTTGATGCATTACTCAAGATATCGCATTGAACAGAAAATAACCTGTTGATACTTTATATATCAAATTGTGGTAATGTAAGTTAGACTTTACTATGTAACATTTCAAATTGTCCCCAGGTGGAATTGGTTGTTAAAAGGTTATGCAAATGAGGTGCTAATGAAACAAATGGTTGGGCTTGGTTCCTAAATAAAGAATCACCATGGTGGGTTGAGTAGTAATTAGTTACTGTCAGTTAAAAGTCTTCTTAGTGATTTTAGACTAACAGTATGTAAGTATAAAACACTTAAAGTGGGGTAGTCGTCACCTGCGCATGCGTCAGATGGCCATAGCGTGTCATTGTTTACAAACAAGCATCAACCCATGAGCCTTTGCGTTATTAGCATGAGTTGTTATCATCACTTGGAACTCAATTCCCGCTCGCGTGCACAGGTGACGACCCTCCCGCTTTAACAAATGAGTTATACTTTGTTGCCATGTGGTGGCGCTATATAGCATACTTACCTAGTTTACTGTAAATATCACCTGCTATATTATCAACTCCACACCACAGTGTACCTGGATAGATTCCATTAAGTATAGTCTTAGCTGTGTTTTGTGAGTTGTCCTGAGGTGTCGTATTAATGGACTCCTTAACTCTGCAATGTAAATTAATGTTATTCTATTGCAAACTAACTTTCCCACAAAAGATTTTTTTCTAAATTCATTTAAATCTGGTTACAATAAATGCATACTTTTGAGCAATTTATGAATTTTCATTTTGTTGTTCTGATCAAAGATAAACTCTAAAGTTATTGTATGAAAGAAGGTGATTTGAAACCATTAATACCATTAATGTCAAGAGATTGATGGCTTAGAGGGCCTACGAGCTGTTGGCCCTGCTTGAATGCTGCACACTGAGGTAAGGTGTGGTTTCATGACCCACAGAAAAATTTATCACCATCAATGTTTGTCATATTGAATGGTTTTAGATTTGATTATTTTTACAGTCATCAAAAACTCCAATCTGATTAAAATCTGATGTAGTGTACGGGCTTGAATTATTTTGGCTATAAACTTAATTAAACTTTAATTTTATTTTATTATTTTACTTTGATTTTGATTTTGTGATTTTTTTAATTCTGTCCTACATACACAAAAATCAAAGTAAAATAATAAAATAAAATAAAACAGCAGTAATAACAAAAGTAATAACAAATAAAATTAAAATAAGTTTATAGCCAAAATAATTAAAGGCCGTACACTACATCGGATTTTAATCAGATTGCAAAAACCCAAGGCTTGTAGGCTTGCAGCTAGGCCAGCATGATTTTAAAACTTCTTAGCCCAACTGTGAAGTTCTCGTTTCAGACTCAAAGGTTTGAACACTGTTACAAGCAAGTGCACAGTATTCTATTGTACTCATAAGTTGTAAATGATTGAACAAATAGAACCACACAATAACACAAGAAAAACAACCATATCATTATAAACTCACTTAGCAAGAAAATATTTATTCTGCTTTCTGCTGTTCATCTTAAAGCGGGGGAGTCGTCACCTGCGCATGCGTCAGATGGCAATAGCTTGGGACTCAATTCCTGCGCATGTGCAAGTGACGACCCTCTCGCTTTAAAACTTTGGTCAATTTTTTTGGTATATAGCCTATTCACGAAATATCACTAATTGCTTAAAAATTTGCTTTCCTTTTTGTAAATTTGAGAGGTACCATCCCCTGTACCAACATAAACACTTTCAAATTGTAAATGAGTATTAAATGAAAAATTAACTGTAGATTTAAACACTCACTGAGTTAGGCGGCTTTGTTTATCTTTGAAGGTCAGTTACCTGTGTGTAGATATGTTTGTCCATTGAAATAAGGCCCTCCAGTATACTCTAAATAAAATGCGCAGGTATCTACTTTCAATATATCATATTTTATGTTTTTAGCTTGTTCTGAGAGTGATATTTTCCATTTGCAAAGTTGGAATGTAACTTCGAGACTTTCATGAAACTATTTATATACTTTACACTGCAGTAGTCTTGATAACGTAAATGTAATAGCTATAGGCTGAGTACTGATATTCGGATATAAATGTACATATTAAATAAAACTAAACAACATCACTACCGGCAAAAATGTGATATGTGATATTGTTGAATAATAACATTTGGATAAAATTGATGAACATTAATTAAACGAAACAATACTCACCTCACTTTCTCTTCTACTTTGCGTTCTATGCCGGGTTCTTCGTTAGACATACTAGTATTTGAAACCAAGGTTTGTGCGACCTCTTCTTCAGAATCTTCCAAATATGTGACTTTCTGGCACACTGATAGCAACTCTTGCATCTCAGTCGTTGTGTTCACAAACTGTAAGTTTGAACTTTTCATGAAACCTGTCTTTACCAGGATACTTAGCCAATTTATTTTTGCGGACGCGTCTACGCCATTCAAAATTTCACAACTCACAAGTTTCGTTTCCCTGGAGTCAGACTTCAGCAATGCCTTGACCAGTTTGCTACCGTCTGTTATTTGATAGATGGTGAAGTTGCTACCGCACTCGAATCCAGGCAATTTGTTCAGATATGCGACGACTTCTTTTTTTTCGTCGGACGG